TCACACCTCCTGAGGGCAGCTGGCCTGGGCCAACCTGGTGAATCTCTTACCTAGCCAGCCCCGCTCATTAGCACAGACCCCCAGGTTTGCTCTGGAGCGTTCCCGTAGGGAAGTTCCAGTTGCTCCCAGTGCTGTGTCAGTGTGGGAAGGGAGTGTCCCACTGCGATCTAACTGAAGTTACATTTCTTTCTCCTTCAAATCGCAATCTACTTCATGTGCTTTAAGGAGCCCTGGTGGCGTAGTGGTTATAAATTGGGCCGCTCACTGCAAGGCAGGCAGTTCAAAACCACCAAGACGTTAATCAGGACCCGCTTGTTAAAAAAAAAAGCCCTGGAGACCCCAAACACCCTGCCCTCCCTCCCTTGGGAATCTCCAAAGCCTGTTCCCTTTGGTTTTCAAGTCTTTATCTAGTTTTTTTGTTTGTTACCCTTATAGTAGATCTCTTATAGTGTCTCTTTGTGGGTAAATTTACACAGCAGAATGCTCTCCAGGTCCATCCATGTCATGAGGTGCTTCCTGGCTTCATTATTGTTTTTTTCCAGCATAGTATGTATGTACCAGAGTTTCTTTAGATGGTTTATTTTGAAAGCCTTTAGTATAATTTCTGTTGAAGTCATTGTGGACTCTCGTAATAGTCCATTAAAAATCATCTTAACAAGCTTGAGTAGATTGGATCAAAGGAGGTGCCTATCAGTCTTCTCCCAGGAACAATAAGAATTATGACCCACATCAGTTTATTGCCAGTTTTCTCACACAAAGCACACTGTGTCTCTATTAATGCACTGAATTATGTAGGACCTTGGAAATCTCCAGCGATTTTGATTGATATGTTATTCTCATACAAAAATATTGAGGTTTTAAAAATGATGAAAGCCAACTATTGAAATGAGCCGGCATTGCTTATACCATTACATAAAGCATAATAGCTAAAGCACTTTGAATTTCAGAACTGATTAATGGCCTGCATGGCTTCAAATTTATTTTAAAGACAGATTTAGATTGGGGTAGTTTTGTTAGTTCCTTTTGGTGAAGCCCATGTAAGAGATTCCACTTATTTAATTGGACCTTTTCCACAGATTAGACTTGCTCCAACTAGCTTGGCCCAAAGGAGAAAGGACTTTTAGGGGTATCAGGTATCTCAGAAACCTCATGAGCAATTGCAAATAGGGACTAAAATCCATTAAGAATTAAGGCAACACAGCCCCCTTCCTAAATGCAACTCCCTCCTTAACTACTCCCCTTACCCCACCCCCCCACCCCCCACCCCGTTTTTATAGTTGGCTGGTTGGTTGGTTTGTTTCTTGAGTTTCTTTTTGTTTGTTTGCGTGGCAGGCATGCAAGAGGCTTCCCAAAGACAGTGTGAATACCCTAGGAAGCCCACCCTGTAGTTCTGTCTCTGGCACAGTGTTCTTAGCGTGAACAGGGTACCAGTCAACCAAAGGAAAGACGTGGGGTGGGGATGGGGATGGGGGTGGGAGGAGATGAAATCCAGGGAAAAGGAAGTGCAAACTTCCAAGGGTCTCATCCTGGTGGAGTCACACACCTGGCATGTACCCACTGCCATCAAGTCAATCCCGCCGCATGGTGACTGAAGGACAGGGGCTGTAGCTCTCAGGGGACAGACAGCACGTCTTTTGCTGAGGCTTCCCAAGGCAGCCTGACCTGGCCGGTAGCAGCTCAGCACTGAACTCACTCCTCCACACGGGTTCCCGTGGAGTCACCCAGGACATGCTTGCCGCTCCCAGCAGTGAGTGATGACAACATGCGTGAAGTGTTGCCAGACAGGAAGGGTCTTTATATATTTTTATTGGGGCTGAACATGTAAGTAGACTCTGTCTGATATGGACAGAATTTCCAGACTCCCAGAAAGAAGGCAGGCATTTCTATGTTCTTTGTGCAGCATTTAGACCCAGTGAGCCACTCAGGAAAACCAACTTTCCAGACACCAGCCAAGGGCCAGACCTGCTGTCTAAAGAACCTTTTTCTGCACAGTAAGAGGAACTCTCACCCTCACCCCACACCTGAGTTTACATGCCTCCTGTAAATTGTCCTGATTGCATGCCATCTGGTTAATTCTGATTTATAGTGACAGAGTAGAACCACCCCATAGAGTCTCCGAGACTGTAATCTACAGAATCAGATTACTGCATCTTTTCCCCATAAACAGCTAAGTGGATATGTGAGGCGTGTGTGTGTCTTGTCCGTCTTTCTCACTGGTTTTGCTGGGAGAGAAGAGGGAGTGGGAGAGAAATCTTTATTGGGCAAATGGTTCCCACGACTGTAGATGTGGGAAGTGCAGTCTGGTTTCAGGCTGTGGATCAGACGTTAAGGTGGAGGCTTCTCTCGACGCATGCAGCTTTGGGGCTGATGAACTTGGGATCAGCTGAATACCACAGGCTGCAGAGGCGGATGGCTGCAAGGTCAGGAGGTCAGGCTTGCGCCTGGATTGGAGAATGAATTCAAAGTTGACAATTCAGATGCCAGGCCCTCGAAGGCTCCCGGAATCGACAGACAATATGGCAGGCTGTTGGTTCAAGTCCCCCCCAAAAGAGATTGAAGAGATCCAGACTTGGCAAAAGCAAAAAGCGTTCCCCGACATCCACTTATTTGTAGGAAGTAGACCACAGCCCCTGAGGAAACTTCCTTTCAGTTGCGTCAGGACTGTGACCCGAGTCAGGGAAAAGACAGTAAAGAATTAGCCTCAGAAACTCACAGGGGTGGTTTTGCTTGCCCAATAGCGTCGCTGTGGGTTGGTGTCCACTCAGTGGCAGTGAGCTTGATTTTGGTTGGTGACCTCAGTAAGAGGGTTGCACTCCACCAACCGTGTGGCTGTTCAAAGCAGATCCGATCATGGCATTGATTACATGACGTTAGGTCACATCATGGAGAATTTCTAAGCCTCAACTGCAAAACCACTGAACCCTGGCCCAGCTAAGGTGACAGAAAATCCCGCCATCATAGTGAGTTTGAACCTCTGACCTTTGGGTCAGCAGCCACACGTTTAACTATTGTGCCACCAGGATTCCCTTCTGTGACTAGTACTTAATGGTAAGGCACCAGGGGTGAGGAGCTAGCATCTCGAGTGAGTCCCAACTCCAGATTCCAGGAGAAGGAATTAGCCCAGCTAGAGTTGGACAGCTACTTTGACCCAAGTAGTTATGGTCAGGGAAATGTGTCAAAACCTATTGCTGGGCCACCGTAGGAAATGCTAATTATCAACTAGGGACTTTCCTGGAAGCTGTGTCAGATCTAAGACCCATGTAGAAAGTACCGTATATACTCAAGTATAAGCTGGCCCAAATATCAGCCAAGGCACCTAATTTTACCACAAAAACTGCATTAAAAATATGCTGAGAAAACTCGGCTTAAACACAAGAATCTATGGTATTGTTGTAGCCCACATCAACCAATGGGAAATCACCACAGAAATGCCATACCCCGTGTGTTCATCCTGGCCAGAAGAACAGTAACTTAGTTCTGAGTTGTTCAAAGGAAAAGAAGAGACAGGCACGCACATACTCAGACATGCATACACATATATGCACAGGCTTGGACATGATGCACATGGAGACCTCTCTATACCCACATACATGCACATACTTAAAACTATGTATTCCAGAGAGTTCTGTCCTGCGGGACCCCTCATTTCTCCTTGGTTATGGTTATGGTCAGTAATGCTTTGGAGTTAGATCAGTTGTGGAGCACAATCACCTGCCAGTTTGGGGGAGCTGGGACTGTGTGAGGGTCCGCTTCCTTGTTCCCTGGGGGAGCAGATCGCTTGCCTACAGACAGGCCTGTCTGATATATGTTGGAAGTGCCTTTCCAACTCACTTGGCGGTATTCCAAGATGAATTTTTACTTTTGTCTTCTGAATCTCTTGGAGATAGGGAGGTGGTCAGCAGACTTTGAAGGATGAGAGCATGTGTGTGTTTGACTCCAGAAGTCGCATGTAAATTACAGAGAAGTGATTCCTGGGCCCCAGATCAGGTCAGGGCGGGAGGGGTAACTGAGGGCTGCAGGGCTTCTGGGCCTGGGTGGGTCACTCCTCACGTGATGAAGTGGATGAGCACACCATCCTTTGAGGATGCTCTAAGTACTATTATTGATCCCCCAGTCTCGGTGTCACCTCCACAAAGGAAAATCATTCTGTATACCCTGAGCTTGCTACATGGAGTAGTATGTACCCTAAAAAAATAAAAAGCCCTTTGGTGGGTGGGGTATGCAGAATTCAATAATGCAGACCATGCAGAAGGTTTTCCGAGCTTCCCTTCACACTGCCGTGTCTGTGAGCCCGAGGGTCCCTGGTTTGAGAACCCCTGAGGTCTGCAGGTACTTGAGCATGGGTCACGCTGTGTGCCGAAAGCTGTGTGAGAAATCAGTCTGGTGGTGTTTGCATGTTTGGGGTGCCCAGGGTCCTGGATCAGACCTCCTAGATGGAAGCCCATCTTACCAACACCCAGTCTGGACACTCCGTTGGTTTCCATGATTAATAACTCTTCCAACCTATGCCATCTATCTTGTGTCTTGGTACTGCTATGGATACCACTGGGTTTTTTTTGTTGTTGTTGTTTGTTTTTAATTTTTATTCCCTCCATAAAGCATGGGGCTTTTTATTGGTCTGGCTGGGTTAAAAATAAATAGCCCGTTACTTGTTAATTAAATAAAATAAATGGCTTACATACAACTTTTATGCCCTTTACTAATGAATATTGATATAGTTATTAAAAATCTGTTCATTTCAGTTCCATTAATTTCATCTGCTTTTATTTTTTTATGAGGTGTTCACTTTGTGTAAGGGGGTGCATTTCCCCCTGTGTTAGTCAACTGCAGATCTGCAAGCATGCAGCTGGTGTGCGCTTATATTTGGTAATTGACCAAATGGGGACCTTTGGCTGGTGGCAGGATGGGCCCATCGACACACAAAAGCCCAGTTCTCAACCACCTGAGAGCAGTCAACGTGCAAGCATGTAACATTTCTGTTGCATCTTTTGTTTTCACAGTGAGAGAAAAACGCAAGAGTCTCTTCATTAACCATGTAAGTGAAGCCCCACCTTCTTCTTAATGACCAGACTGTACCTTTGAAAGCGCTTGAATAACTGTGATGAGTGGAAATGGTCCACGCTTGGAAGAATGCAGAGAATGTTGCCATGCTGGAATGCTTTGTTTCCCTTGTAGTGAAACAAGTGTGGCTTAGGGCCCACGGTTGCAAGTGTTTCCCAGAAGGCCCAGCCTTGGCCATGGGAGGATGTGTGTGAACAATGCTGTAGGAAATGCCACAGCTCTGGCCAAACGGAAAGGGCCCTCGTTCCTTTAACTTTGAATCCTCTCCTACCTCTGCCCCAGCCCAGAAGCAGTCTTCTCTCTGTGACACTGCTCCTTTCCAGTAAACGTAATTGTTTTTCACTTTCTCTTTGCTCTCCCAAATTGTTGTTTGTAGGCCCAGCAGAGTTTGCACACTCTTTTGGTGCTCAAATAAAGGTGATAAAGTTTACCTGTTCTGGTTTTGACAGAAGAGGATTTGACCTGTTCTGGTTTCCTGCCGTGTCCCTGAGAGGAGCAGAGGGTTAAGTGCTTAACTCTCCTAAATGAAACTGGGTGGCTGGAAGCAAGCATCCCAGGATAAAGACTGGGCGGTCTGCTTGGTGCCAGACCACTTGGTCTCCTCCTGAGAAGTAACAGCAGGCAAACCTGTACAGCACAGGCGGACTTGGGGAAAACACACGATCTCTTGCTACCCGGTGGCCCCAAGCAGGAGGCCCCGGTGAGGCCTCTGCCCTTCTTTCTGGACTGGCAGGAGTAGCTGGTGGGCTGCAGAAGTTGGAGCTGCCCCCTCTTTCCCGCTAACGATGTCATTTTCTTTAGCAAAGAAAACCATCTCCATACCTGTAAGATGATGAAGCAGGTATATCATCAACACAAGATGCTCTCAACTCTCATGTTGAAGACTCAAAACATAGATTTGACCTTCCAAGAGTCTTTCTCAGAATTTCAGACTTGCGGGCATTTAAGTATTTGTAAATCGGGAAGTGCCTGGGTGCTGGAGAAACTGAAATCTCTAAAATCAGATTCTCTGCTCTTGGATTATCTGGGCACATTTCTATTGAAAACATTATTACCCGCGGCGTTTGTGTACTTGGGGTGGGGTGGTGGTGGTGGTGGCTCCAGAGCCCTGAGGAGATGTGTGATCCTCTGTAAGCAGTGCCACTCATATATGCACATCTGTGCACTTTTCTGGGGGCCAGAGAGCCAGTAGTTTATATCAGAGTCCTCAAGCAATTTGTGAGTTCTTATCTGATTCATTCATTCATTCTTCATTTATTAGCTCATTGTATTGGGAGCTCTTTTTACAACATTGTATACATCAGTTGTATCAAGCATATTTGTACATATGTTGCCATCATTTTCTTTATCAGATTCTTAAAGCACATTTGGCCCCTCACATTCGAAGGCTTTGACATCAAGAATCTGTGACATTAAATTGGGTGTCACAGGAAATCATGGTGAACCTTGCCCTGCCTACTTTGGGTTTTGACGGTACTGGACAGAAAGCTGAGCGCCTGGAGGGAGTTATCTCCCTTTCTTTTCCCTGCTGGGTCCACGAGGACCCTTCATGCTCATTAGCATGTCTCCCAGGAGACAAGGACAAGCAGAGCTGCAGTCGTCCAGCCAAGCGGTCCTCTCACTTCCGGGCAGTTCTTTCAAAGATGTATTGAAGGGAAAGGAGGGTGGGACTTTGACTGTCCATGCCACCGCCATTCTGATCGTGGTCCTGAGAAAGACGTGTCCTCTCATGGCTTTAATCTGCGCGTAGCCTCCCGCTTAACGTCGAGCCTGGTACCACACAGCGAGCAGACGGAGTAGGTCTGCTGCCACGTGGCACACACCGAGCAAAGGTTGTTCCCAGGATGCAGCTCAGGACACGGCAGACTCTCTGTTCTGACCCACAGGTATCCCCCTGTGTAACCCAGCTCAACCCTCCAACCTCTGTAAAACCCCTGCCCTCCCGCCAGAGAGTGAAATCACTGCGTTCTCGGGAGCTGCTCACAGCCAGTTGTCCCGCCCTGAAAGAAGTGCCGGGTTAAGTGGCGTTATGTAATGGATGACCCAGTAACAGCATGACACCCCAATCTGTGAACAGAGCTCGCTGCAAATGAGCTCATCATTTGTGCCTACATCAGGGAAGGTATAGAAGAGCCACTCCAAACCCAGCGAAATAACATCATTTAAGTGAAATGACCTGCAGGTTCAGTTAGACTAATAGAGCAGCTGGGTTTTTCAGGCCCCGAGACTTGGGCTTAGCACATTTAGAGCAACAGAGGAAGGGCATGCATTCGTAATCAGCGGATCACCTGTTGAGTACTTTGTATGTGCCAGGCTCTTCACTCGTTGGTTTAATGGGTGTGTATCACAATAACTCTCTCTCTCAGCCTGCCACTGCGTATTAGTCCCATTTTACAGCTGAGGAAACTGAGGCACAGTTAACCAAATAAGTGCTGGTGCCAGGATTGGATCGACTGGCTTCAGAGCCTTTCCTTGTAAATCTTGCCCAGCACCACTTCGCAAGGAGCCCTGGTGGTACAGTGATTAAGGGCTTGTCCATCACCTGTGAGGTGGAGCGTTGGAACTCAGTAGCCAGCTTTGCAGGAGAAGATGTGCAGTCAGTTTCCATAAGGTTGGTCAGCCTTGGAAACCCGGTGTGGCAGTTTTACACCCGTATGGAATGGGTATTAGTCAGAATCAGCTCAGCAGCCATGGGTTTGTCTTTCAGTTTTTATACTGCTATTCAGAGGAGGCTGTCTCCTCCGACTTAGACTGGAGTGCTTTAGCTTGCTTATCTGAAGTTAGGAGCACTAATGTGTGCGATTCGGTTGATACAGGGCAATCTGTAGGGCTTATTTTTGAATGTGGGCCCCAGCTAAAGTTTGTAACTTAATTTTATAAGCGCTGGATGACAGTTACTCGTTGCCCTTGTTTGTGAAATTATTTCATTCTCCATTTGCTTTATATAAAGGAATATTGTTTCTTTGCTTTCTCTGCCACATTTCCAAAGAACTTACTTAGTAGACGCTGCTAAGGAATCTCCAAGGAAGCTCTTATTGAAGAAAAGTGAAAGCAGTGAATGAAGTTGTCCTTTGGAGAGAGAGGGGCATGGTTCAGTTCTTACTGTCGGATGACAGCTACAGGGACAGTAGCCTCCCGCAGACCCTACCCAACCCGCGGCCATGGAGCTGCTCTGGAGGGTTTCCTAGGCTGTCACTCTGCAAGGAAGCAGACTGCCACACCTGCCTCTCACAGAGTGACTACTCGCAGACTTTGGCCGGGAACGTTCTGGGGAAACAGGGCAACAGGGTGGGACCCCAGTCTGGACAAAGAGACCGGCGTTTCACTGGCCCAGAATAGCCAGCAGGGTCTTAAAGGATTATCAACAAAGAAGGTTGCTGGTAAAAGAATTATTACAGGTTTTACAGCCTGAAACCATTTGAGGATAAACCACTTTAGTTTGACGGCCAGTTAAACCAGGGTGAATTGTTCGGATTAATATTCTAATGAGCATCTGTGCTTAGATGGAGTTAGAATGAACAATTGCAGGAAAATGTGACACACATAGAATAGAAAGATACTTCTAGTATTTTTTTGAAAGCTTTATACAGTTTATACTCTTAAGTTTGCCTAAAGTTTTGGCTTTGCTTTTTGTGAGCTTAGCTATTTTAACGGATCTCTTAAGAAAAATGTGAATGTGTGATTCAGATGCCTGGAGACCAGAATCATAACACCAAATTCAGATCTCATGACTTACCATAACCTAAAGTTAGCAGTTTGAACCCACGCAGGCGCTCTTCGGGAAAGAGATCTGCAGATCGGCTCCCATAAAGGGTACACCCTAGAAAACCCGGTTTTACCCTTTGATCCACTGTGACTGAAATCAACGTGGTGGCAACTAACAGCAGCAATTTGTAGGTGACACCCTTCTGCCAGCTACCTGGTGACAACATGCCCACGGTGACTGGATCAGTGGATATGCTTTTAAAGTTCCTGTAAAAAACGAGGTTTGAAGATGTCGATTTTTTTTTGAAGCTCCCTTATATATCATTGTTAAATGGAGTTTGAGGTGAATTCAGTTTAATTTTTTAAGATAAAAACTAATGAGTGTTTCTAGCGTTTTGCACATGGATAGTTTCCTATAGTTAGAGCTCAATTTTCACACTCGCTAAGCCCCAGATTCCCTGGGAGGAGACTATTCTGTTCATTCTGGTCTAGAAATACGTCATTTAGGTTCCTGCTCCACAGTTCAATTCTGAACTCATCTCTGCCCTGCCCCTGGAGTGAGGTAGGAGTAGCCCCTCTGAGTCTCCTGTTCCTGTGTAAGCCATACCAGTCAGGAAATGAGGTGAGTTAGGAGGAGGGATGGGTTTCTTAAACTCTTAACTCGTGCTCTTTTCCTTTCCAGGAGATGTAGACTTATTTTTAAAAATTTTTAGTGAGCCGTTACTATGTTTGCATAATAGAATATATTTGAATATACTTAATAAAGCTTACGTCATATCCAGTGGTAGAAGAGAAGTAGGAGCCATTTCAGTAATATTATGAACATACAGGGTTTTTTAATAGGACATTAAAAATCCAACCTTTATCTTGAAATGTTCTTAAACTTAGATATTCCCACTTCACTAAAGGCATTTTAGAAACTGGTTCTTCGACCAACTGCTCATTCACCTTTGACACACAGGATGTTGTGATGGATGGGAAGATGCAATTTGCTCTCAAAAAAAATTATTTTTTTTAAATCAGAAAGTAGAAATGATGGTGCATGTACAAAACTGCTGATCCAGATCAGAAGTTGGTGTCTTGGGAGACTTTCTCTTTTTTAAAAACCCTTTCCCGTTTCCTTCCTCACCAACCCATCTCTTTCTTCACTTAATCAATCTCATAACGTGTACTAGCGGCTACAAGCACATGGTGGCTGGCAGGTAGAATTGCTTCATTTGGAAATACATGTGGCCCTTGTACAGATGCCTGAGTGCAGGACTCGATGAA